ATGCAACGCGCATTGTTCACAACATACTGCCGCGCTAACGCAATAACCGTTGCCATAACACAACACACTAAAATACTATGGGGAATTTCATTTTAGAGAAGCTAAGTCATTTAGAATTATTAAAGAGGGTTTAAAGAAAATCTTCAATGAAACAAATGTTTGATATCTGAGTTGTGTGAGTGATTTGATGGTAAATATGCATATTTGACATTGTTACATTCATATAAATAGTACATTCTTTAATAAGTAGAGTTTGAAAAGGATTTCACTAATAATGCATGCAATCCAAGTAGATTGAATGATTTTACTAAAACTAATTCTGCCAAATTTAATGGAATATCTTGAAGACAGCGAAAAGAGACCCAGTCATACAGTAAATGTTTATCCCAGATAATATTATATGGTGAAGCAAGACCCAAAGAAACTTACTGGTTGCCTACGATAGCCACCCCCCGCCCCCTCCCAACTGAGTATTCATTGCTGTAAAAGTTTATCTCCAGGAGAATTTTCTTCCTGAACTCTGGGTTGTTATCAGGGGCAAGGGCAAAAACACATCCAAGATAACGGATATTGGGTCCAGACCTGTTAAAAAAACAAGATATGATTCAAAGACATGCAAAGAAAATATAAACTACTGTATACAAAGAATCCTGTTCTATTTTGCCCTCTTTCGCCATCAGCTCAACAAGGCAAATTTAAAACAGAGTGATTTCAAAGAAAACAACATAATTTCTTAAACAGAAGCATCTCTAATCAAATTTAAAATTGAACAAATATTGCAAGATTACCCTATGTACAGTATTAAACATATAAAAAGAATTGAAATATATTGTTTGTTTATTAGAAGGTTAATGTGTAATCATATGTTAATATGTAATGTATATAAGTTAATCAAATACATTGTATGTGTTTATCGTAATTCAGTCATTCTACAAAGGCATGCCCAATAAGAATTTTTTATGTCGCTTACACATTTACCTTTGTCATATCTTATAACTATAAATTTAAAGATCGATTTCAACTCTATGAATTGATATACACACATGATTTTGTAAATATTTACCGATATATATGCAGTTAAAGTTTTGATATAAACACAATGTAATGTTGAAAATCGTTACACCCTTACCAAACTGTCATACTTGCTGCAGACGTGCAGAAAGTCTGCTGCAAGCTTGCAGCAAACAAAATTGTTCGCTGGAAGAAAATGTTCTTGTTATCAGATGATTGCCGCTAGCTGTGATCTTGCGGCAAACATTGCAGCAATTGCTGTAAGCTTGCAGCAAATTCGCAGGAACTCAACATGTTTGCAGGAACAATGCAAGAAACAAACACGTCAATCTGTTGTTTGCAGAAAGTTCACAGGAAACATTAAACAAATTGAATGTTTGCAGGAAATTTACAAAAACAGTAAGCAAGTCGAATCAGCCAACGAAATGCAGATTGTAATGGGGTCAAGACACAATTCGCCATTTTGAAATATTTGAATAGACGTGGTAGATGTTTCACTATTTTGTTAGGAATACATTGTATATATGTACTATTTTGAATGATTAAAAAGAGCATAATTCTGGATGTAGGTTATATTGGCATACACAACATTTGATTGGTAAGATCTGATTTTGTTTTATTTTAATATGAAACAATTATCTCTTTAAAGCATGCTTAAGTACCTGATTTACTTGCTAGGTCAATTCTCAATCTATTTATGAATTTTAATCTTTATTTTAATGTCACACTTGTATATTCCTTTAACGTACTAAAGGTTCGAAATCAATTATTAGATATGTTTATGTGTTTTCAAATAAATTGGTATTAACTGTAAAATTTTATTTATAAAGTCATATGCAAAGGTTCTTAATTTTCTGTACATGTCAAAGAAATTATATTACATTTTTATTAAGAATAGTATGTAAACATAAAGAAAAACTGTGAACACTTCAGAAACTTGCATCATTTCAGACACATGTGGTGGATTTTCTCTATAATTAACAGATTAAGGTCAGGACAAAGGCTTTCAACGAACTTGCTCCTTTTACGCAGGAATGTGCCTAAAACAATAACAATATTGCTTGCCGCAAGTTAGCAGCAATGTTTGCCGCAAGCTTGCAGCAATGTTTGCTGTAAGCTTGCAGCAATGTTTGCCGTAAGCTTGCAGCAATGTGTTTTCCACAAGCTTGCAGCAATGATTGCCGCAATGATTGCCTCAAATATGCAGCAAGGTTTCCATATTTGGAAAATTCAATGTTTGCTGCTAACTTGCAGCAAACCTCATTTGCATGGTAAAATGCTTGCTGCATACTTGGCGCAAACTTGCTGCAAACACAAAGGCTTTGTATAGGCTGTCATGGTTTTTTTTAGCTTCATTGCAACAAGCTTGCATCAACGTCTGTAGCAAGTCTGCAGCAATGTTTGCTGTAGGCAATATTTTTGATAAGGGGGTCACTATTCCACTTATATTAATCTTAATGTCGCTTCATTCATTTACAAATTTCAAGATGAAATTTTCAGCCATATAAACGTTCCGAATAGATTGCAATGAATGTTTAAAAAGGTTTTCTTTTCTTTATAAAAAGAAATCAAACCACTTTTTGCAAAGAAATGCATGAATCCGATCTTCTTTCATTCGAAATCATAACATGTCGCTGAAAATCAATTAACTTCCATAACAGTTTTGTTTTAAATTTCACGCACAGAATGCAGATTTCCAAAAGAACTGAAACGTATCTAAAAGTGATCATGGAACCTGATACAGGGTTGGTAAAAAACCGGGAAATACTCATATTTCCCAGGACAGTGGGAAATACTGGTAATTCCCTGAAATTACTGATATTTCCCGGGAAATACTGGGAAATAATAAATAGCTACATATTTTATAATTTTAATCATATTTGTTGGAGAATAGACATGCGGTACACCTTATTGCCCAAGATATGTTAAAGTACATTTTATCGAGTGTATCATGGATAATCAAAGGGGCGGTGACGAGTTTGCGAAGCAAACGAGTCTCCGCCCCCTTGATTATTTATGATTCACGAGATAAAATGTTATTTAACTGACTTGTATCAACGAACCAATCTTAGGGCGATAATTTTCCATAAAACAGCGTGGGAATGTATCATTTTTTCCGTAACATAACCCGTGAAAATATCGGGGTATTTCGTAATACAGCCGCGAAAGTATCGACAGCATTCGATAGATTCCGTTTATATTTTCCCGCTCTGCAACTGGCATATTATTAATATTGGTTCTATAGATTATCTGGACATTCCGTAGTAATTTCCCGCTAATTCCTCATGATATTCTGGGAATATTTCATTTACATAGATGACGTTGAGGAGGATGGGCGTATTAGACGATTTGTCGACTATTAACCTGGGCGATTTAGACTTTTTTAACATATGTAGAGTTACCAAAGAAGATATTGAACTCTCGCAGGTATGTGATGAAATTGAAGAAGAAAATGCCTTATCCGAGGATCTGTGTAAAAAGCTGAATTTAAATCGTGCCGAAAATATGGACAGTGAAATTGATACCGAGTTTGGTTCTTTCAACCTAGATACAGTGGACCCAGAAGCAGATATTTTCGATCAAAAGCATCGACCAGTGAAATCGGAAACTGGTGATAATGGTGAAGGGTTTGGAAAACCGGTGACGGATGGTGAAATTTCAAAATTGATTGCATCGAACGAGAATGCTAACACCGAGAAAAATACCACGTGGGCTCTCAAGGTCTTCAAGGAGTGGCGGGAGAAACGGAATGGTAATTCCGATGATGAAATACCACTCTTACATTTAATGACGACAGAGCAGTTAAATTCTACTTGGGGCGCTTTATTGTGGAATCTCGGAGAAAAGATGGCATTGAATACCCTCCCCGATTTCTCTACCTCATATCGTGTGGGATATTGCTCCACCTCAGAAATAAAAATATCTTCGACAAAAACATTTTGGACAGTAATGACCCAAGGTTAAGTGAATTCCGGAAAATTCTTGACAGCAAAATGAAAGACTTTCTGAAGCGCGGGTTTGGACGGCGATTAAACAAACTGAGCCAATTATGCCACAGGATGAGGCAGTACGTAAATATAAAAAAAACCATGTGACGAGATTTCCAGAAGGGTGTCGGAAGTACTCGAGTACTTTTTCTCCGAGTACTCGGAGTGCCGCAGTCGGGTGGGAAAAGGAAGGCAGACTGAAGACATGGAAACTGAAAATGAAGATCATCAGAAGAAAATACCCCGTTTGTTTGCTCCCGATAGTTTGTCCGACATAACAAATTGACAGCATTTTCATAACTGTAAAATTTCTTTCAATTTTTAAGAATGAAGACTTGATAAAATAAAGTACGTGAAATGTAAAAACATTTACGCGCAAAAAAGTTCAGTTTATTGTTACAAGAAGTAATAAAAAATGTTCTTAAAACTGTTTTCATTTATTCAAAAGGAGATGGGACTTTCTGTGATTTGGTAAGAAGTTATTTTACAATTTTGTACTTTTTCTGTACAATAACTTCCTGATATTGGAAGTTATTGTACATTTGGATGCTCCACCCCTTGGTGTATCAAGAATTAATGAACTATCTATCTATCTATCTATCTATCTATCTATCTATCTATATATATATATATATATATATATATATATATATATATATATATATATATATATATATATATATATATATATATATATATATATATATATATAATTGTTGATTTTGGCCGCAGTGTAATTGACCTCTCTTGTGAAAATTCCAAACCTTTTTGTTCATCTACAGGATATCACCAATCATATTCCAAACGATGAATCATGTGTATCGAAAATCGTATGTTGCTAGAAAAAAGCTCTTTGATCCAATTGACGTGCCGTAAATTTCATTACGTAACAAAAGAAACGCATAAAGACATAGTTCTCACAGTCATAATCTTAATAGATAGTGCACAATCGATCGAGACGTTTTGTATAATTTGAGAATTTTCGAGATATTAGTTTCTGACATGTTTGAACATTACCTGGCATTGATTTTATCTTTTGTATTTTTATTTAACATCAGAGTCTTACGAGCAGTAAAATGTGATTTTGATGGAACGCGTTTAGTAAACAACTTTAATATAACTGGAGTAAGTATTTTCAGGGTTTTTTTTTTTTAATAAATCTATTCCTTTTGTTAATTCTTGCTCTCTTATAACCACGATTGAACCCATTTTTTTCGGCTTTGCAGTAAATTCAAATAATGTATATGATATTAAAAGTTCTAACTTAGTAATTGATGCAATTTTATTCATAGGTATAAATCGTTGATGTTTTATTATTCTAAACGTTTAATTTTTTTTATTTTTCCAGTTTCTTGGTACATGGTATGAATTAGAAAGGACAACATTTCACTGGGTAGACAACACCTGGCATTCCCAGGTATGGGCCTTTAAGCGAGGAAATGATGGTCAGCTATATATGGCATACACAGGGTTTTCGTAAGTACGACTGGTTTAGTTACCGGTACTATGTTCAATTTTCACTAAAAATTACTCTTTTTTGTGCTATCAAAATATGGCTGAAATTATGGTTTAAAAGTAGAATATTCAAAACATGTGCACACTACATGTAGTACGCAATATTCAAAAACTCTTTTCAATATCATTTTTCTCAAAACGAGAAGAGAAAAAAAAAGTTTTTAGAAAATTGTATTAGAAATGAATTAAATTGAAATTTTTGAGAAATTTCTTTAAAGATTCTATGACATTTGCCTAAAGAAAATTTCTTGTTTTGTATTTTAATATTTTACATCACATGTATTTATATTTGCTTATTTTTACTAAACCCACTATGAAAATGATTTTAATGCTAAAAAATTCCTCTTCAATTATTTCAATTTATTTTATTCCATAAGTCTAAAACAATTGATTTGATCATTTAAGTCATTCTTTCTGTAGTCTTCTAGAATATTCCTTATTCCTGTACATCATAAAGACAATACGTTTGCAAGATTCTAACAGACAATGATTGTTAAAATCAAGTCTCCGGGTCCGTGATTCGAGCCATTGGTGCATAATGAAAGCATTAAAGAAAAAGCACTATCATAAAGAGCACCCTTCATATTCCTCAAGTCGATTAGATGATTATTAGTATGTCTAATCTATGCATATTTCATATTGATGTATCTTCAAAAATCTTAAATTTGTACTCTCAAGCATGTAGCAGACAAACATTATGTGTTTTAATAATAATGACGAGTTTTGTATCAAAAGATAAATACAGTAAATTTCACTTGAATCCAGAATGTTTGTTCCAGATTTGAAGAAATTTGCCAAATGTTTATAGCCTCGATCTTGATACAAAATTCAAGTCAAGGCCTATGGGTCCATGAGGTGATATGCAAATTAGAGTTTACACCTTTTCATTCCGTTTTCATTCTTATCAATACATGCAACTGGGGACCAAATGTTATCAATTTTGAATGATAGCCGTGACATTCTAAAGTATGCACGACATTGAAAGACGGGCATCATATTATAGAGAAATCTTTTCGAATACTCTGAGTATATCCCCCCTTGCTTAAATTTTTACTTTTACAGTCATTCAAGGGGATTTTTTCTAAGGTTTTCTGTATTTACATTTACACATACATATTTACATTTGCAAATGTTTCCCTTAATATAAATTATACTACTTGAGCAATGCGTTTTGAAATCTTTTCAAATCGAGCATTATCATCCCATGACTACAAATTCATTGTTAATCGACGTTATTTCACATTGATCGATGTGTTCAATACATTTAATTTATACCGTTGAGGTTTAAAAAAAAATTATTCATTCCATGGCTTTAAACCTATAATACGCAAATAATTCTAATAAATCAGTCACAACATGCAAATATAAGTAATAAGATATCATTTTGATATCATTTTGAAACATTTATTGTGATATACATGTAAATACGGGTTAGTTTGTGATCAAATCTACGGGCTTCAAGGGATTTGATTGCGTGCCCAATCCGTATTTATTTCTCGATTAATGTTTGAAATGATATCTTATTTCTAAAATGTATCTGTTTAAATGACGTCACACGTCCAATGAGTACCTAAATGTGTAGACAGGAAAAAAATTAATCTATGAACATACTTCTTAATTGCAAAAACAAATGAAGAAATATACAATACATACAATGGATAAATCAATTTTTTAAGTCCTCGCACACAGTCTTGCACTACTCCTAATACCGGACTCTTGAGCGGAAACGGAGGCGCATACACATTAACATCAAAGGAGGGAAGGTATGAAGGTAAGTAATGATGTATCATAGTTACATCTTGACGTCAGAGGGAAGGTATGAAGGTACATGTAAGCCATGAGGTATTAAAGTTACACATTGACGTCAGAGGGAAGGTATGAAGATAAGTGATGAGGTAACTTAGTTTCACATTGACGTCAGAGGGAAGGTATGAAGGTAAGTGATGAGGTAACTTAGTTTCACATTGACGTCAGAGGGAAGGTATGAAGGTAAGTGATGAGGTAACTTAGTTTCACATTGACGTCAAAGGGGAGGTATGAAGGTAATTAGTAATGATGTATCATAGTTACCTCTTGACGTCAGAGGGAAGATATGAAGGTACATGTAAGTCATGAGGTATTAATGTTACGCATTGACGACATCATGCTTTACTTTAAAAAATCAGATTAAAACGGAAAATATATATTTATACAAAGTACTTAATTTTATATGAATTGACGAGTCAATCGGAATGCATGCAACATGCACAATTTAGTGAAAAAAGATAAAATTATATTTTGTCTCTTTGATCATTTGTTTTAATTTTTTTTTGCTTGTCTCGTCATTTGTTCCTTTTTTGTTTTTTGTTTGTTTCTTTTGCTACAATCATTACTTTTTGAATATATCTAGGTGCATTACGAGTTGCTTACACAGACTACGAAAACATTGCCCTGGTGTACATGTGCTTTGCTCCTGTAATACAGGGAACGTGTGACAGGACAACTGTTACTGTCTCCCTGCTCTCCCGGACATCTGCTCTGTACACTCCACAGAGGTCCGTGCTGATGACTCACATGGATTTAAAATGCGTCGAAGATCATCACCTAAACCAAGCTATGACAGGTTTGAAGGCTTTATTATACATTGTAAATTTAAATATCATTGATTTTTTTTAGTAAAGACAATTTTTCTTTAAAAAGTCTACAGGTAAAGTAGTATATTTATTCATATAACAATGGACGATTTGTGTTTAAAGGATATCACACAGAGAATACTAGCTAGTATATGAAACATTAAGAACGTGTTTGCATCCTTTTTTATGAATGTGTGAAATCACTGATTTTCGTGGTGGTGGGGTTCATTGATTTTGTGGTATGAAGAAAACAATGAAATGTTCAAATTTCAAACATAGTTTTATGCTTACCATTGCTTCAGCAACCATAAAATCAAATTCAAATGTACCAATTATGAGATTACTTCTTTCGATTAATAGATTTTTTCTGATTTTGTTACACATATGAACCATTTTATCGACTAAAATGCAAAGTGATGGATCATATCATACAATATGAGAAGATATCATATTAATCTGGCAAATTAATTTGCTTTTAAGGTCTTTGTCGGGAGCCTATACCTACTAGTAAGTAGACTTTAATCACAGATAAACATAATTTTTCGTTTTTCACTTTTATTCATGTACATGTTCATCCATATGTCTACAGAATTGAGTGTTTTAAATGTCAGCGTTTCAATTTTTTCAGTTCCAGTTGGAAGATAAGCAGCTTTGGAACAAAGGGATATCAGTGAAATCCAATCGAATGTACGACAATGAACTGAGAAGTAAATTTGTAAATAAAATCTGTATTTATTTCTCCCTTTTTCCAAGGTGCAATATCAATTCTTATGTAGTACATATCAAACTCTATTTTAATACAGCGGCTCAAACAGCGTTTTAAGGGCAGATGATAAAAAAAATAAGGATAGCAATTTGTAATCGGTTAACTCGTTACTCGGTCGGAACGATGGTAATCGATTAGTATGTATGTATATTTATTGTTTTATGTCCCTCTCAAGAATTTTTCACTCATATGGAGACGACACCACTTGTCAGTGGAGAGCTACAAATTTTGATCTATACTCGGCACTCAGGGCCATTGAGCAGTAAGGGATCTTTTCCGTGCTAGCACCTACAGCGACACGGGGCCTCGGTTTATACGGTCTCATCCGAAGGACCGGTCTCCACGTTCCACAGTGGGATTCGAACCAGCGACGTAAGGATCGACTCCTTACTCCGCGACTCTAGAGCGAACGTTCTAACAACTGCGTCACGCGGGCGGGCGACGTAATCGGTTTGAAAATCTGTAATTGGGTCGAAAGAAATGATAAATGTGTAAATTTGAACACAGTTTTCTGAAAATTCAAAGAAAAATTAAATTAAAAATTATAAACAGATAAACATATCTGAAATGTAAGTATTTTCAACTATCTATTTCAGGTGATTCAGAGAATAAATAAAGATGTCCTACGTTTCTTTAATGATTTTCATTATATAAATGATCGTTGAGTACTGTGAACTGTTTATAATGTATTTCTCACCTTTTTTATCCTTTGCAATTACCTATCTAATGATATTATTAAACAAGCATTGTAAATTAAGCCATAGTTCAGACTAAGTTTTGATTATGGTGACAATACAGAATGAACTTGCGTGACATCTCCTTTGAAATTTGTTTAATATATCTGATACTTTAGGCATTTTTCATTGGTTTTCTAATTTTTTTTCCTGTTGAAATTGAATGAAATATATTGGAAAGTGCTCTAGGTCCGATGATTTGGACCAATCTGGGGGATGTATACAAATGATCAGATTTACAGAAATTAATTACAAGGGCTAATATAAAAACGAGTCAATAAATGCATATATGTCTAGGGTTATCTATTCCTTTATAATAAAAGCAATCAACTATAATCAAGATATTGGACAGGGCTCTGTCCGGGGTATGTGTTTTATGGATATATATATATATATATATATATATATATATATATATATATATATATATATATATATATATATATATATATATATATATATATATATATATATATATATATATATATATATATATATATATATATATATATATATATATATATATATATATATATATATATATATATATATGTATATGTATATATATATATATATATATATATATATATATATATATATATATATATATATATATACAGTCCCTGAAACGTTCTACTTTCCCACTTGAACGGTGAGCGAACGCTGAACGAACGGTGAACGAACGCTGAACGAACGCAGAGCGAACGGTGAGTGAACGATGTGTGAACGCTGAACGCAAATTGGTGAACGATGTGTGAACGGTGAACGGTGAGCGAACGGAGAACGCGAACGGAGCGCAAACGCGAACGCAAAGTGAACGGTGAACGAACGCTGAACGCAAAATGAACGATTTATTCGGAATGCCTCTAATCTTTCCCTTGCATTGAAACTATTTTATTGTATTCTATGTCAGGTGCCCAAAAAATCATTAAATAAATAAACAAATGAATGAATGAATAAATAAATAAATAAATAAAATAATTGCTCCAAAATTGTCCTAAGAAAGACGATGCATGCAAATTAAATTTTTAATCGCACGATTTTTATCACTGTAAAACATTGCAATTGCTGCCGAACGCTTTAGTATAAAAATAAAATTATTTTAGTTGGAAAATAAATATGTTTATTCTAATTTGATATAAAAATAAAAACATTACAAAGGAGAGAAAAACTTCTGACTTATAGAATGAATTAAAACGGTTGTAACATCCATTCATATATTTCCGTGCCAAGGCGATTTGGTGCAAAATAATGTAAAAAAAAAAAAAAATTAATTACAAAGGCCAGTGGACACATCGCATAAACACACTCGTATTTTTAAATTTTAATGTAATAATATATTTATGTGTCATTTCTATTTTCAATGATTTATTGAAAAGACTTCTACATGTACCTGTAGACATTTCCCCGTGATTAAACTCGGACATGATAATACAAAGAGGCATATTCATATTATTTGTTATAAATTAAATTTTCAGAACTTGATATTTATGTAGTATGCTGTCATAGATTTTATTTAACAGACAAAATTAATGAGAGAGAAAGAGAGAGAGAGAGAGAGAGAATCCGTTTTAGCCCCCCCCCCCCTTTTCAGGCTTCACTAAATGTTTGTACCTATATCAAACAAAAATTCTCATTTTTTTTTCTAAATATATCAGACAGTGAATGTAACTTTTTTAAATAAAAACATCCATTTGTTTAACAGTCATACTCGTTTTTGTTTTCCTCCTTCAAGTTCACACAAAGTCCACGTGCTTGTCCTGTCAATCAAAATCATTCGACACTGTGCAGGAGTGAAAGTCTCGTCACACCGAAGACGAAGTGCGAGTATTTCCAACGAGTTTTAACATTTATTTTTATCATTTCTAGATTTGATTCCAACATTTCAATAATAAATAAATGATTAAAATACACTGGGCATTAACACTTGAATTTGAAACATACTGTACATGTCTGCATGCCAATTTAAAATATCACCGCCGACACGTGTACATTTTGGACTACTATTGTTTAGTGACTTTTTTAGATGCATGTTTGTTTTGAGACTGAAATTTTTGTGCTACAAAACACATTAACTTCTTTTTTGAATGTTAATTAAAATATACTGGAAATACTGACTAAGTAAACGATTTAGGGGAAAAAAGGGGGGAGTGTTAATCATATCGAATGGCAAACATATAAAGTTACGGTGAAGGAAGAATTTTTTTTCTCTATAACTATAGACTTTTTATATTACAGTAGAGAAAATTCTGTAGTGTATTACATTTTAAATAAATATTTCCTTTAACCACAATATCAATTTCTTTCGCTCCAAAGATACTAAATTAACAGGATATCTGCAGTACTATGTATGACTCTCAGAACTAGTTTTCATATGTTTCTGTGGTAATTGAAAGAAAAAAACATGTTAGAAATAATTTTTTTTTCGTAATTTAGCTGCGTAATTATTTGACTTGGATAATTGTCTCTCCATTAACGATGTCTTCTTTAACATAACAACAAAATGCTGCAGTGCTTGAAGTATCTGTATATTGCCCATATTTAATTTTTCAGCATCGTTCTACATTGGTACATACTTATAACAACATCAGAGTAAATTAATAAATAACCTTACAGCTAAGTTAGAATAATAATAAAAAAAATAATAATAATTTAAAATACTGTGGATAATTTTTTCCCCGTGAAATAATGATTCTTTAAACACGATATGTAGATTATCAAATATCTTATTTATTTTATTTAAGAAAAACCCGTAAATCCTTACTTAAAAAAGATAAGTCCTTTCACTTCGGAGTTCCGAATGACACTGAAGACTGAACGATAAGTGAACGCTGAACGCAAGGTGAACGCAAAGTGAACGAACGGAGAGCGAACGGCGAACGCTTTGTGAACGGTGAACGCGAGCGCACGGTGAACGGTGAACGCAAAACTGTGAACGGAGAGCGAACGGTGAACGCACGCTGAACGAACGGTGAACGCACGCTGAACGAACGGTGAACGAACGGTGAGCGAACGGAAAAATGGGAAAGTAGAACGTTTCAGGGACTGTATATATATATATATATATATATATATATATATATATATATATATATATATATATATATATATATATATATATATATATATATATATATATATATATATATATATATATATAATAAAACACCACTATATAGCAAGGTAGAAAAAACAATACAACTCTGGGCAGTTGTATTTAACACTCCTTTTTTTTTTTACTAACTCTTACCACAGTACATGCTCTAATGACAGCAAAACACAGAATGACAATTTTACCTCGGATGCGCTCTGATATATACTAGCGACACCCGGAGTAACCTCGGCTTCCATCATACCCCTTATGATAAAACCCTTTATTAAGGTATGTCATTCGTGAAATTGTTATATCAAGGAATTTTTGAGAAGTATATTTTGGATAAGTGCTCATATAGTATGACTCAAAATCGCTGAGAAAATGGGGGTCAGTGTGCATCTAACTGAGCTACGGTACAATTAAGTTGACCTTTTTACACTTACATTGTAACTCGCTGGTTAATCACTTTAACGTTATCATATTTTATCAGATGTAACCATGGCAATAAACATAATCTTATTTTACGTAAAATAGTTTGAATAATAATTATCATTTAACAAATCATGCAAATTAATGCGCGTAAATTATTATGTGACATTTTTGCACTAAAAAAGTCTCATATTTGGGGGTATTAAAAATCTAAATAGGCAATAGAATATTTTCTTGTATCAAAAATTTTACGACTTAAGTGCTGATCGGTCAAAAGTATCGAGTAGTTTAAAATAATGAAAGAAAAAGTTGGGGTCAGTGATGTAAATTTTGAAATATTGGTCAAAATATGCGATTTTCTGGCAAAAAACTGCGTAAATTTTATCTCGACTTCTTTAATATATCTTCATTTTTTGGCAAAGTTTGTTGAGCGAAGGTGTAAATTTTGTTATAAAAATATAAATTGAGACCTATATTTAATATTCCAGGCCAGTGTTCGAAATTCAGAATTATTTTCTATGGGTCCAAAGGACCCACAGATAAAGGGACTACACGAGTCCTTTCAGGGCAGCGCAGGCCAAAAAATAATACCATTAAATATTTTGGGAAAATAAACTTTTACGTATCGATGATCTTGGTAAGTTTATTGCTTCATATGAAATATGTCAATTTAATAAAGGGTATC